AGACGGGTTACACGCCGGGACGCTTCCAGAAACGATTTGAGATCAATCTGTGTCGATGTCTCTTTGCTGGTCATGTTGGCGGTGACCTTCGGAAATTCTCCATCCTTAACCACTGTTCTTCTTTGCCGGAAGCGCCTATGCCTTGGTTTTGGCGTTTCGGTGCCGAGCCTTTCGAACACTGAAATTCTCTCGGGGACTCCCTTGATGCAGTTGCATTGAGACAGTACTACCCGAATGAGCTTGGCACATGGGCACTGAGTTTCGAGCCCTTGAGGGCTTCTTTTTCTTGTTTTGTTCGTACCCCCAGCACGATAGTACAACTCGTCCATTTGATCGGAGTAACCTATCGCGTGTTGGCATGATTTCCCAGGTATAACGTTATCATCCTCGGATGACAACGTTTCCTTCTGAGAGCAAACTGCCTTATTTGGACTTCCGAGAGTCACTCGCCTCGAAACACGCCTTTGTAGACATGAATTCTCAGCGGGCTCCCGAACTTCGATGCGCAAGGTAGTGCGCTTGGGTGCCGTAAACTCTTTGTCATGTTGAGGGTTGTGTCGACCCCCAGCATGTTGATTAGTTCGGAGCCTCTTCATCGGGCCCGAGCGTTCATGGACTTCGTTGCGCTCGTCGGGAATTGGACCGAGGCGCTCCAAGATTGACCTCCTTCCTCGGGATGGTTCGGGAGGTTGAACTCGTTTTGAAGGCTGTAAAGGTCGATCCTCGGCCTGACTCACCACTTTGGACTTTGGCCTCCATATTTTGTGAGTTAGTGGTGATTTCTTGGCTACTCCATTCTGCCACCTTCTACGGGCTTCTTGAACTTGAGCTCGTGCTTGTGCTGAGAGTGCGCGGCGCTTCTGAATGCGATCCTCCAGCGTTGAACGGTTCCGTTTGACACGGATCCATTCGTTCGTTGGTGGCTTGGAGGAGTTGCCATTCATTGGTTGTTGAGGTCGTTCGCCTCTTCTGTTCTTCAGATCCGTGTTGTAACGGATCCCGTCCACAGATTCCATTGCCTTTGCGATTTGTTTCGCAAGGCGCTGACGTTGCCTTTGGCGGGCTCTCTTTGAGAGAGTCACTACGCCCTCGGCAACGGAAGATTCGGCCAGAGCAGATCTGACCTGGTTGGAAGGAGAGATCTCACCCGATGCAGCTTCGGCATCAAACGGGGCGAGATCTTCGTTGGCAGCTTCAACTTCTTCGTACCAACGAAGTTTTCTCTTGGAAGAGAGCTTTGGAGACTTGGACTTGCGAGGGGAGGTGGATTCGGACGAGGATGACAGATACTCCTCGAACTTTTGTTGGTCGAATTCGTACTCGACCTCCTCCTCGACCGGGATCGGGATCCGCGGCTGCGACGCGACAGCTTCGGCAGTAAAGCTGTTGGCTCCCACTGTGGTCGCCAGATTGTTCGCGGGAAAAATCGTAGCTTTCTTCATTGTTGATATCATTGCTATCTCAGTTAACAACTTTATGCGTTACAAAGATCCGGTCTTTTTATAAGATCCGGTTACAATGAAAAATCAAAGAAAACAAAGTAAAGATTACAATTTTCCTTATTTGTCGAACTAATCGCGAGCTCCTGTTTTGCGGTCGCTCGCTTTGGTGGGTTCTTTGCCTGCGCCGGGGTTATTTGCCGTGGACCACCGCGTGATCTCGATCCGGTCGGATCTACACGATATGACGGGTAATATTCCACCAAGGGAATAATAGCCGGGAGGGATTGTTTCACCAAGGAAACAACCGCTCGAATCTCGGGATCTAAGAACCAAGCTTAGATCCGGAGTGTGATCGTGTAGATCTCAAATCCAATCCTCTCGAACTCCTGCCTTATTTGGCGTTGGTGATCGCCGAGCACCGGATCTGAAAATCCCAGTCTCCAAGCCTTCAAAGTTGTGATCTTTTTTTTAGATCTGAGTCTTCAATCCAGCAGGGCTTCGCCTCTCTCCAAAATTTCCAACCTCCGAAACAAATGAGCACAAGGCCTATTTATAGGCACTCAGAACTGTGCATTTGCACAGTTCTGAGCCTAGCCACCCATGGGTGGCTCGGCCTTGGCCGAGCCACCTCAGGGTGGCTCGGCCTTGGCCGAGCCACCCTGGGGTGGCTCGGCTTTGGCCGAGCCACCTCAGGGTGGCTCGGCCTTGGCCGAGCCACCCTGGGGTGGCTCGGCCACCGAGCCACCTCAGGGTGGCTCGGCTTGGGCCGAGCCACCCTGGGGTGGTTCGGTTTCGGCCGAGTCCCCGGGTGTTTGTCCGTTTCGTCCTTTGTTTCCGGTTCGGTGGCTCGGTTTCGGCCGAGTCCCCGGGTGTTTGGGCTTGTGTTCGTTTCGTGGTTCGGATTCCGTCATTCGGGTTCGATTATTCGTGATTTGATTTAGACTTCGACTCGGTTGGAGGTGGCTCGGCCTTGGCCGAGCCACCCTGAGGTGGCTCGGCCTTGGCCGAGCCACCTTGGGGTGGCTCGGTTCAAAGCCGAGTCCCCCGGGGTTTGGGCTTGTGTTCGTTTCGTGGTTCGGATTCCGTCATTCGGGTTCGATTATTCGTGATTTGATTTAGACTTCGACTCGGTTGTGTGGTTGACTTGTTCGGATTCGATTTGTTGATCCGATTCCTGATTAGGCAGTAAGTCCACTTCTGAGTTCAAGTCCGAAGCTTGATTTCGATTCGATCACGATTCGTCCGAGTCTGTATTTGGTTGAATGACTCATTGATGAATCAACCCGTTGGCTTGATTCCGCACGTGAGTGGATCCATTCCATTGTTTACGTGCGGTTCATCGGCTTCGTAGCCTTGTTATCCCGCTTCGTCGCGTGTCGTTTGGCTTCGGTGTTGCGGATTAACGATCTTGTTTGGATACGTCGCCTGATGGTTCGTTCTGTCGAATCGGCATCGTCGAGCTGTGTAACGGGACCTATAGGCAATTTTATACGCCTACACACCTGAATTGACATTGATAAAAGGCATATCTAGCAAAGAAACACTGACCGAGTTCCCCTCGAAGAACATATTAAACAATTATGTTCTAATTTAAAAAAATATTCTTCATGAAAGATACAAGAAAATTTAGTAACTACTTATAAATTTTGTACTTTATTCTAAAAATACCGAAGGAATCATAAACTTATATAAAATTAAATATAAATAATATTGCAATAAAAACTAAAGTGAAGCCATTTATCAACTATATTGCGAGATATAATAAACTAGATAAGATGAAGAAAATCACTATAATGGATAAAAAGTATGCACATGATACTTAGTTACCATAACGTAAGTGAAAAAAATTAAAATTGATTTTTTTAAATAGTGGCACGACTCTGCAAGTAACCTTATCTGGGGATATGACTACCAACGAAGGATCAATTTTTAAGAACACAATCAAATATAAGCATGTAATAGTATTGTTAGATTTCAAGATCTTTAAATATGAAGGTAACATATTTTACAACTAAAATTCTTATTAAAGACCACTAAACATAAAATTCATCTTATATGTGTCTCAATTTTGTATGAAAGATATGCATGTCATTATAAATTGTGTTAATAATATATCAATCCAAAGATATAACTTATTGAAGAAATAAAAGATAGATAAGCAAACCAAGCAAACATCCATATAACACGTAAAAGAAAAAATATTACACTTTAAAGCTAATATGTAGGGCTCATTCAGAACAAGCTGCTAAAACAAAAGCATCTCCATCAAGGCTCTTTATAAATACAACACAAATTTAAATTATTGAATATTTTATAAAACAGCTTAATTTTCTGAGTAAAATCAGGAAGCTTTAGAATGGATTTTCTGAAGTGTACTAGAGTTAGCATTAATATTTTTTAATGGTTTTTTCTGAAGTCTATCAATGATTAGAAACAAAATTTATATTCTCTTTAGTTTCATTCTAGCCCACTTTTAATTAATCATATTGACTTATTGGTTTTAATTATCCATCATTCCTTTATAACGTTATTTTTTTCAAGTGTTTTTTACTTTTACAACATTATACCTTCTCAAGTCAAGCTTGGTTTCATGTCGATCCAAATAACGCGAAAATTCAAATTAGTTTTGGATTACAATTATTTCTTATCAATTCAACTATTAACATGAAAAATTTAAATTTGGTGTATCCCATTCAAACAAACATTAAATAAAATAAATAATCACAATAGTAAAGTTTAAAAACATGAGTGAGCAAAAACAATCAAAGTGGAACTGAAGAACAAAATTTAGTAAAGAAATAAATCAAAAATACTTAATCATAATATTTAACCACGTGCATAAAACCTAGTTTCAAAAGAAATGTGCCATTATCTCAACTTTTACTCAATAGTCATTCTAATTGATCATAGTAAATGCTATTAAGAAAAATCTCTTATATTTAAAATAAATATAACTGAAATAATCAAACTGATGATAGATTTAAATTTTTTTCTGATCTTACCTTGTACGTGCATATGCACGTGTGCGACAATCTAATCCAGATAACAGATTCGAAATACATTTCCTCCTATAAGGGGCCGTTTGGTTCATGGGAAGGGCATTGGGCTTTGGGCTTTGGGCAGAAAGCCTGCCAAAGTGCCAGTTTTGACAGGCTTTCTGTCCAAAACACCTCTTTTAAAGATATTTTGGGCAGAAAACCTGTCAAAACTGGCACTTTAACAGGCTTTCTACCCAAAGCTCAATGCCTTTCCATGAACCAAAACGGACCCTAAATATAACAACCAAATATTTATCTATTGAGACATTTGCCGTCATTTAAGACCTTGAGCAGCAAGGAGTTCATGCGGACCCAAGCCTCCCACACCCGAGGAAAAAAAGAAGAAGGAAGTTTCTTTATTCTTAGCGTGGGGCCCACGCAACCCCATCCAACGTGTCAGCATCCAGTCCAACCAAGCCACAACCAACGGTCGGATCCCATCTCTTTCCGCAACCGTCCGATCCGTCAATCCAACGGCCACAGCAGAAACCCTAATCTATCCCCTCGCGATCTCCCACTCTCTTTCACTATAAATAACCTAAACGAGGCCCATTTCCAAAACCCTCCCTCGATCTCCCTCTGCTGTCGCCTCTACTTGCAGCTCGAGCAAGGGTTTGATCGTTTCAATGTGAGATTTCTCTCCTCTTTCTTCAATTTTATTGTAGATCTTGTAATTAGCTCCATTTTAAGCTCGGTTTGATGTTGATCACGTTGAAATTAGTCAGATCTGAGCTGTGTAGGATTTTATCTTTGTTTTAGTAGGAAAATTTGATGTTGAGGATGATTATTTACGTTGGAACTTTAGATTATGATGTTTTACTGTTAGTTTTTGCCATGGATCTAAAGTTTCTTGATGAATAGCTTGTTAGGCTGCCGATTGATATTTTGCGTGTAGGGGTTTAAAGTAAGGGTAAAGTTTCTTATGTGGAACCTAAAATTTGTATTTTTATCTTCGTTGGATTTTTGAAAATTGAAATTTCTGGATAGGAAGATTAAATTCATTTTAAAACTATTTTCTGGCATTTTTTAATGGAAATGAAATAGTTTTTGTTGAAATTGTACGGTAGAATATGTAAAAAATCAACTGTTTATGTCTTTTTTGCATGAGAATTGAATTAGTGCTAGTAAACCCATCTATAATTTTTCAGGGGTATGTTTTTGGCTATTGAAGTTAGTTACTATTGAAAACTCGTTTGTGTTGCTTTTATAAAACTACAGAAATTTTATTTGCTAAATTACTCTAATATTCCGAGTGATTTGTTAATGAGAAGTTCAAATTGAAAATATTAAATAGTCTTCAAATGATAGATCCCCTTATAATATACTTTATGTAGATAATTACTACATATCAATTAGTTTTTCATGATGTAGAAGAAGGGTATACTTGCCTTTTTACCTGTAGTTTTATCTCAATAGCTAGATATGCGTTCAAAATGTTATCTTTAAATCATTCTTTGCATTGATAATTTGCCTAGTGGCTATTGCGCATTTAGCTGTCACTTTTGCCTCTTCTTTCAGCTACTAGAGACATTATGCAACTCTTGTTGGCTTTGTTCTGGGGGCATACATGGATGTTGTTATTTAGGGAGTTTTCATATCCTGAGTTACTTTTATTATCTTGGGATTTCCTTCTCTCATACATTTTGAATGACTTGACACCTTTCATTAGGCACATTTCCCCTAATATGTGATTTTAACAAATTGAAAATAGAAATAAGGAACTGAAAAAGCCTGAGATTGAACATGACATGCTTTCCAAGTCCCTTCTTGCTATAGTGGGATTCATCAATGTAGTTGTTAACAGGAATGAGGTCAATGTATTCTATCATATAGTTTTCTTTGAAGGTTCGGCTTTTTCAAAGAAATCTGTATATCATAATTGTCTTGTGTTTTAGCACTTAATATTGCTTCCACCTAAGATATACTCTATATTCATAAAAAAACTACTTGATTATTGTACGATTGTGATATTTTGTATCAACGGATTTTTTGACAACTTTAGTGAGCAACTATCCTGTATCTGGTAATTTTGATTGGTTTTTGGTTTAAGGTAGGTGTCTTTATTATCATTTTTTATATAGCATGTTTTATCCCTAAAGTGGAATATGGTGCTTAATAATTGGTCTAGAACTATGTTTAGTTCATCCTCTATTAGGGTTTGTGAGACTACATAATAAATAATTACCAATGATCGATCTTTTGTTGGTGTCTGCTATCTTGAAGCTGTTCTATTTTTAAGTTATAATTGCATCTTTTATTACCATGTGGCGATTTCATATCATAGAATGTGCAGTATATGCTATATATGTAATCTTGTACCTGTGTTAAACATATCTTTTACAATCTTTCAGTCACCATGGGTAAGGAGAAGATTCATATCAGCATTGTGGTCATTGGACATGTCGACTCTGGTAAGTCGACCACCACTGGCCATCTCATCTACAAGCTAGGTGGTATCGACAAGCGTGTGATTGAAAGGTTTGAGAAGGAGGCTGCTGAAATGAACAAGAGGTCATTCAAGTACGCCTGGGTTCTTGACAAGCTGAAGGCAGAGCGTGAGCGTGGTATTACCATTGATATTGCTCTCTGGAAGTTTGAAACCACCAAGTACTACTGCACGGTTATTGATGCTCCTGGACATCGTGACTTTATCAAGAACATGATTACGGGTACCTCACAGGCTGACTGTGCTGTCCTCATCATTGACTCCACAACTGGTGGTTTTGAAGCCGGTATCTCTAAGGATGGACAGACCCGTGAGCATGCTCTTCTTGCTTTCACCCTTGGTGTGAAGCAAATGATTTGTTGCTGTAACAAGGTAAAACACATTGATTTCAGCTTGATACCCATTATCTGTGATTGTACACTTATTAAACGTATTCTTGCTTGCTCGCAGTCAGCAGTATCTTTGTGTTTCTTATTTTAACTTCTTTTATAGTATCATGTTTTTAGTATTATAAAATTATGTGATAGATGCGCAATTTTATGTTTTGCTCTGATCTTTCCTGTTTTATTTCTCCTTGTGTTTGCATTAAATGTCAGTTCCATGTGATCTCCTGTTTCCTTCATGTCAATTCTTACTTCTGTAATGTTCTTTTTGCTAATCTTCATATATTCTCTTTTTTAAACCTCTACATTTACGTGTTCACGTTTTCCTCCTAATGTTAGTGCTTAGTCAGTTTTCTACTTGTTTTCAAGTTCTAAATTTTGAAATATGTAATCATATTTGAAAATTTTCCATGTAAATAAATTTTTTACCTTTTAGATGATACTATTGCTACTGCTTTTCTGTAGTATCAGCTTCTAAAATGTCCTTTTTATTTATAAATAAAAGTTGACTTTATACACTAGTGTAATTACTATTGCATTTCCTATATTATGTACTTTCATATTGTTCTGTTTAATTTTTTAATTGTTATCCTACATTTAACCTTTTGATGGGTAATTAAAGGAAATGATACGAAGTTCTGTGATATATCATGTGATTCTAGTCATGTGTTCTGTGTTTCATCTCAACATATTACGGAAAGGAACTTGTGAATTTGCTAGATATAATATAATACTTTATATCTTAATGTCTTTACTGGATTCTCTGTGTCTTAATATTTTTTTCTTGTCCTTTAGATGGATGCCACCACACCCAAGTACTCCAAGGCCAGGTACGAAGAAATTGTCAAGGAAGTCTCCTCGTATCTCAAGAAGGTCGGTTACAACCCTGACAAGATCCCCTTTGTTCCCATCTCTGGTTTCGAAGGTGATAACATGATTGAGAGATCCACAAACCTCGACTGGTACAAGGGGCCAACCCTCCTCGAAGCTCTGGACCAGGTCAATGAGCCCAAGAGGCCCTCCGACAAGCCCCTCCGTCTCCCCCTCCAGGATGTGTACAAGATCGGTGGTATCGGTACTGTCCCTGTGGGCCGAGTTGAAACTGGTGTCCTTAAACCCGGTATGGTCGTCACCTTTGGTCCCACTGGATTGACTACTGAGGTCAAGTCTGTTGAAATGCACCACGAAGCTCTTCAGGAGGCTCTACCCGGTGACAATGTTGGATTCAATGTCAAGAACGTTGCAGTCAAAGATCTCAAGCGTGGATTCGTTGCCTCCAACTCTAAAGATGACCCAGCAAAGGAAGCTGCTAACTTCACTTCGCAGGTTATCATCATGAACCACCCGGGTCAGATTGGAAATGGATATGCACCAGTGCTCGATTGCCACACGTCCCACATTGCTGTTAAGTTCTCTGAGATTCTCACCAAGGTTGATAGGCGATCGGGTAAGGAGCTCGAGAAGGAGCCCAAGTTCCTGAAGAACGGTGACGCCGGTTTTGTCAAGATGATTCCGACCAAGCCCATGGTGGTCGAGACTTTCGCCCAGTACCCGCCTCTTGGGCGTTTTGCTGTGAGGGACATGAGGCAGACCGTTGCTGTCGGGGTTATCAAGAGTGTCGAGAAGAAGGATCCCACGGGCGCTAAGGTCACCAAGGCTGCTGCCAAGAAGAAGTGAGAGCCTTGTCGTAGAGAAGCTTGATGTCGCTGCTGTGTGTCTGTTGTTTTCCTGCTTTCTTCGGTCTCTCTGGGTTTGCATTGCATAACTGGGTTTCTTGACTGGAGATGGGCAGAGTTCATTTTTGGTTTCAATTGGCCAGTTTTGTGAGGTGAGTTCCAGGTTTTTTTCTAGATGAAGTTAAAATTTTAGCCTACAGAACAATGTTTAATTTGGATGTTATTGGACATGTTTGTCATAATTTTGCTACATTTTGTTGTTTAAATGGATTGCTATTTGTGCTCTGTGATCGTTTCTATTGCTCTTCAATTCGTTTGTGTTTGTGGTTGTGCTTTACATCTCGGGCTGTCTTAGATGCTGCCTTAACTGTTTGTGCTTTTCATCTCACGTTGGGCTTTGTGACTGGTGGTTTATTTTCCCTTTGGGTTGGTTTGATTTAATTCCAAGCAGAAAACCTTAGGTCGGAGTGCAAGGTCATTTTAAAGTTTTAAAGTGTGAGAATTGGTTTTGAGTATAGAATCTCACGTTATTTCTTTTACTGAATGATTTGGGTGGAAAATGGGTGCAAATCTGTACCACTTAATCCCTTCACCACTTTGTAGGAATGTACATCTCAGTTGGAAAAAAAGGAGTTGATTAGGAAATTGTATTAATTATATTCTGGTAATTTGAGTTGTGATGTAATTATACTGGTGACCCCTAGCAGTGGGTGGTGTATGGCGTAGTCCGGACGAAAAATAAAGATGGTCTAAAAAACAATTTTAAAAAAACAACAACATAAGAGTGCTTTGATTAGATATTGATAAAAAAAACAAAGTTGTATCGTATCATTCGCATTCAAAATATGAGATACATCATAAACGAGTAGTGAAGAACCGAACCCCTAAAAAATCCCCTAAAAACCTAAGAAAAAACCAGTTTGTTTTAAGTAGATGGAAAAAAAATTCTCACCTTTAGAGAATGGCTGAGAAAGTTATTTGTTTACCCCCCTAATCTACGTCTCCCTCGAAGTAGCACTCTGGCATTGGTAATCTCGTCATCAATATGGTCAAATCTTGCATTGATGGTTGCTTTGGGTTCTATTTGAGGAGGCTGAGAGAGAGAGAGAGAGAGAGAGAGAGAGAGAGAGCCTTTAAAAGAACGATGAGAGAAAGGTTGAGAGAGAGGGGTGAGAGAGATGGAAAGAGAGAGAGGGATGAGCTTTTAGGCCCCGTTTGGCAAAGGGTTAATGAAGTGGGGTTAAAGAGATGGATTAATGTACTTAGCCCATTTGATAATCCGAAGAACTAAATTATTAACCCGTTAAATAAATTTTATTTTAGCCCTTATGATCAGTTTTAGTGTTTGGGAATAACAATAATTTTGACTATTTTCTTTATAATTAGAAGGGTTAACTCTTATTCCATCTAAATAGGAGTATTAGTAAACCCCTCATTTTGAGGGGTTAACTCATTTTAACCCCTTTAGAGGGGTTAAGTTAACCCTTCTATATTTTTTATGTTTGGCAAATTATGGAGGGTTAACTCACTTTAACCCTTATATAGATTTGTTGTGTTTGGCAGGTTAAGAAGGGATTAAGTCTCCTTAACCCCTCACTTAACCCTTTGCCAAACGGTACCTTAAAGAATGATGATGAGAGAGAGGCTGAGAGAGAGGGGTGAGAGAGATTATCAGTTATCTCCCAAAAGAGTGATGAGTCTTTAGAGAGGCTGTGAGAGAGAGAGAGCCTTCAAGAGGGGGGATAAAAAGTTAAACACATATCCTATGCAGCAATATATTAATTTTTTGACGGGTACTATGCAACATGATAAAAATTTTTTTTCACTAGCTGCCCAGAGCAAGCCTTGAACAGCTAGGCCTCTGACCCCTAGAGTTTGCTATCTACACGATAATTATGAGATTCTCGAGATTAATAAGAGCAAGGGCAGCAAGCTCCTTGCGTCCCCTCTCAAGGCCTATGTGGCGGTGGGAGAGTTTGCAAGCCCTCCAGCAAGCTCCCAAGGAGCTCCCAAGCCATCTCCTTAGGCTGACGTGGACATTGAGAGCTTGGGAGCTCCCAAGCGCTCCACAAATTTGTGGAGCGCTTGGGAGCTCCCAAGCTGTGCAAGATTTACAAAACCACCCCCCCACAAAAACACAATTGCAGAGTGATCAAAATCTGCCCAAAAAAAGAAGCAAAAAATCCAACTTTTCCAAAAGGAAGAATGCTCGATTAATCAAAATAGTGACTTTGACCGGTTCTAACCTGATAGACCATCTCCGATCGGCAAGTCCCCTCTCCGATCGGCAAGTCCTCGGCAAAATAGAGACTTTGACACGGGAGATGAAGAGACGTGGATTTGATTCAACGGGAGATGAAGAGGTCTCAAGGTCTGGGTTTGGGGTTGGGGATATGAAGAGGTCTCTTTTGAGATGAGGGGAGATAAGAAGGGGCTTGGTATTCCTGATGAGAATTTTAAGTGGCTCAGTCTCTTTTGTTTGTTTTTTTAATGATTTAATGAAATAGAATAGATACAAAGATCTGATAAATGAAATAAATGAGCAATTAGAGTTGAAAAATGACCGTTAAGTAATGGGTAAAATATTAAAATAGAAGAGGGTTTTTTTGATATTGGTGGAGCTCCTAACTAGGAGCTTGTTGGAGCTCCATAAAAGAAGGAGGGCCTCCCAAGGCTTATTTTTTTAAATTTTTTTATTCTAAAATGCTTGAGAGCTCTTGAGAGCTTGGTGACTAGGACTTCCAACTAGGAGCTTGATGCACTTGCTCTAATTGTGAGATGGATAATTATAGTTACACAGATAATTTCTGGTGTGCTTCAAGTTCATCATATAAGTACAACTAATAATCTATGGATCATTCATGTTGATGTAAGGATCCTAGGTTCACCTGTGTAATTAAAGGATATCTCTGGTATCATAATGTAATTTAATCCTAAGATTTTTCTAAATTTTGCGACTCTTTTTTCACTAGGGTGTAAAGGGATTGAATTGAATACTGCAAAATTTGTTTTCTGCCCTATTTGTAAAATTCGATTTAAATACGAAAACAGAGTGCAATTTTGGATACTCTAGGGTTTGCAATGTTACACGCATGATTTCAAATTTCTCCAAATTACTTCTTAAATTCATTTTTCACACGTTTCCGTCTTTCCGCTCTTCGCAGGCTCGTACTCTCAGCATTCGCAGCTTATGCACGTTTCCATCTTTGAATTTGATTCCTGTCTGTCTTAAAAACGCCTTAGAAAGTATGCAATCAGTTAAATATGCCACGTCATTTATATATCCATTCCAATTAACTATTGACACGTGGTCAATCTCAGCCCGGTCAGCTAGATTCCCCGACGAGCAACTACCTTTTTAGTTTTAGCAATTTGACTTCCTTTCCTTATAAAAAACACTTCGACGAAAGGATTGAGGTGCTCTTTAATTAGGTGGCAATTAAAGACGGTCCAATTTTTTTAATTGTTATAGTCCATCTTAATTTCAATGGTTGAGGTCCTGCTACATAAAGTTTTCACTATCACAAATAGTAGTTTTCACTATAATGATTTTCATGTTTAATAGTTGTTTTCAACGTCATGGTGGTTTTCATGATCACAAGAAAAATATTACGTGGCGTGTTCTCACCTATTGGAAGCGATGTAGATGATAATGGTTAAGAGCAGGGGAGGATTTACATACAGTCCAGGGGGGCCACGGCCCCCCTAAAAATTGGGGGAAAAAATTAGGGTGTTCTATTCCTCAAGCCCCCTCAAAATTTTGGGGGGAAAATTAGGGTGCTCTATTCCTAATTTGGGAAAAAAATTAGTTTGTGAATATTAATTATTTAAGGGTTTTTATGTATATATTAATAGTAAATATATTACCATGAGTAGCAACAAGATTAATAAAGGGGGTTTCATTGAAATTGAAAATTTATGGAGAGATATTTAGCGAATGGGCAGAATGAGCTCGTGGTCATCAAGACATCACCATTGGGCATCATTATCGATTAGACTTTTTTTATGTCGCGATCGATTCACAAATGCAAGAAATTAATGTGCGTTTTAGTGAAGATGCGACAGAATTGTTCATGCTTAGTTCTGCCTTAAATCCTCAAAATGCATCTGAGGCTTTGAGAATACAAGATATATGCAAATTGGTTGGCAAGTTTTATGCACAAGATTTTACAAGTAAAGAAAAAGAGAGTTTGAAGATGCAACTGAAACATTATGAGCATAATGTAGTCAAAGGGTCAGACTTCAAAACTCTTTCAACCATTTCTGAGTTGGGTCAATGGTTGGTAAAGACTAATAAATCTGCTACATACGACCTCATTTCTAGAGTGATCGTACTTGTGCTTACTCTTCCAGTTTCTACCGCTACTGCAGAACAATCATTCTCAGCTATAAATATCGTCAAGACTAGACTTCGAAGCAAAATGGAGGATGCTTTCCTCTCCGACACATTAATTGTGTTTATTGAAAGAGAAATTGCTAAAAGTCTAAGCATTGATGCTATCATTGAAGGCTTTGAAAATTTTAAGGAACGTCGAATTCCTTTTAGTTAGAGAAATTTTAGTTATAAAAAAATAGATGATGCTTATTTGATAATTTTTTATATAATATTTATCTTCCTCTTTTGAAATATTTTGGAGATATTGATGTTAGCTATTCTACTCGTTTTATGTGGGTTGTGGTATATCTCTTGTGAATAAAATTACATTAAGAAATTTTTTTATCTATCTTTTGTACGCGGCCCCCCCCAGAACTAAAATCCTGGATCCGCCCCTGGTTAAGAGAATTGGACTCTCTTTAATTACCACCTAACTGAGGAGGATCCGAGTTCCTAACGAAAGTTGCGTACAGATCTCAAGACCATCCATTTATATTTATTTGAGGGTTTTTCTCCGCACTTTTGAATGGAAGCTTCGTAGTTATGTACTTTTCTGTATTTTGCCTCAAGTATAGGTTTGTTATTAATTTAATTTGGGGAAAATATGTCTACGCCGCAAAAATAAAAAGCTATAGTGACCCAGCCCCTCAATGTTTTTCCTATGTGCTTTAACCCCAAAAACCCTAAAAATTTGGTCTGACCCCTTTTCACACTCTCCCATGAATTCCTTCCAAAAGATTCCGAAAATACCCCTTCCCCTTTTCTTCTTCTTCTTCTTCTCCTCTGTGTCTTTCTCCTCCTCCCCCTAACTGCTCATTTCTCCTCTTCTTCTCTCCTCCTCCTCTCCCCTAACCCTACATTCCCCCAAAAACTATACCCCTTAACCCTTCCCCTAAAAACTAACGTGCCTCTCTCTCCCCTC